TTACGACTAATAGGTAATAACCAAAACTGTAAATAACTTAGGGATTACATTCTTTGTCAAAATATTGTCCTATTCAATAATTTAGAAGAGTAATAAAAGCTTTTATCGATATGTAAATAGAATAAACGAACGGAATACAACTAAAGCGAATACTGAATGTAAAGACATTAAAGTAAAGAATAAAGCTGTACCTGCTTACATTATTTTGTGTTAGAGAATTGTCCAGGTACCTATTTAAATATAGTCCCTACAAACTTTCAAGGACGTAAGGCATCAACTTCAAAGTCAATAGTCATTACGTACTAATACTTTGATCTTATGCTCATATTTTATTTATAAATTAGGGCAAGATTGCCAGCCTTCAAGTTATAAACAGTTCAGGAATAAATCGGCCCTGATCCTAGCTGAACTCAATTTCAACTCAGAAGGTATATCATTCTATATAACTCAACGATTTAGTATCTGAGAGTTATGAGTAAACGTTATGAGAAAAATTCGCCGGTATTTACATTGACATTTGTGAGCGATAGAAGTTAAGTTTACGTACACAATTGTGAAATAATATTTGTGTGGTCTTGAAGTTCACTTTAGTCTGTCTTTTTTGAATACGGAGTAAAATAACATTTGTAGGGTTGCCAGTTTTCAAAAAAAATTAAATAGTTATGCAGTTGTTGTCGATAGTTTCATCGATAGATTGTGAATATATGCTATGATATATATGAGATATGTCTTTGTGCATTATGAAAAGTAAGTTTTCAGAATGCACAAAAATATTCATTTCACGGCAAATTTTTCATATGGTGTACGTATGGATATGAATTATTCTTTAAAAAGGGCGTAAAGTAAACAACATAAATTCAGTAAAGGGTTTTACTGAATTTATAACAGTACGCACTTTTTGTAAAAGGCATGGAAAGTTTAAAAATTTCAATAAAATTTATGCATATTATTTTATTATTAAAAATTAAGTGCGCATTTGACCTTTATCTCACCTGATGGAAAGTGACGATGAGGTCGACGCACACCTAAATGGTGCATTTTCACTCTGGCCTTGAAAAAGCCCAGGTGTACCGTTAAGGGAATTTCTACAGGCAGGAAATTCCACTCCATAAATGCGCGCCACATGATTTTCTATTTTTGAAGACATAACGTAACTACGTTTTATTAAAGTATCTGCTATAATCGTTTAATTCAATCAAAATAAATTATAGTGTCTAGTGATGAAAACGACACTTAAATTGTTAATGTTTTAATATACGATTCAAGTCGGCCACTGTTCAAATTAAACACTTTTGTTACTTATTATAAATCTAAAAGATTCAGGACTACGGTGAAAGCGTTTTAAAATACTCAGAATTTTCCAAAGAATCCTCTTTGAAAATGCTTGCCGAATGCCAATGTACATGATTTTAGCTAGGTAATTAACCAGTAAATAATTGCCGCTTAATTTTCGCGGACGGTGCCGTCATTTTCATGGACACAGAAATTTCAAAGTCGAATTCCGCGGAAAGTTGTCGTTGGATTTTAAAGTTTTAAATATTATTTTACTTTCACAGTCGGCTGCTTTCATGTTCAAATATTCATTTTATTTGAAAACTGATAAACAAAATTTGCAAGAAAAAAGAAAAATCTAGAAATATTGAGGAAACGTTTTTTTAAATTTCTTATTTTACTTCCT